GTCCCCTGTCATCGTGTCTCTTTCTTTTTATAGGGAACATATTTTTAGAAATTTTAATAGTACAAGTGCAGAGAATATTCTCTGTCAAGTATTATCTTAAAGCTAACCGTTATAACTTTGTCAAGGGCATACGACCTCGGTATCGATTATTGACGACTCCTCGACTTCGATCTTTGCCGACTCTTCGACCACGACCTTTATTGTTGATTAGATCACTTCGATCCATGGCGACCTGAAGATGCTTTACCGATATCATTTTGACTTATAATCTAGAGATAGATTTTGACCCGTACATCAATACCGTCGAATTAACCATTCATTTGAGGCGATCTCAACTTCTCATTCGCACGGAGAGGTGAAGAATTCCTTTCTCCACTAGTATTTTCACTTCTTTTTTCCTTAATATCAGTTGGTTTTATTTCAGAAGCAAGTTACAATATTTAAATTTTCCTCATTCGCATCGCACTTAATCTATTGTGAGAAACAAAATTAATTCCACCACCTTTCGCTGTCGTCAATCACCTTCTTGTTTGTTGAAAAAAAAAAAAGGCACCTTCCTTGGCTACTTTCTTTGAAGTAACTCTCATATCTCCTCCCATAACTTGTACTAATAATCTTGCACGAAACTTCCTCGACATTTTACTCTACCAACTATAGAGGTTAGGACAATGATTTTTATGGGGTTTATGATTAAATTGCCAAACGCCGAGACGATTTATAAGACTATTTAAAAGGCCTTCAATAGTTGTCAAGTCTACTGGTGAACAGAGACTAAATTTATACTCTAAAGGGTCGTTTAGTTTGAACACAAGTTATGTTGTGATTAGTTATGTTAGTATTGAAATAATCAGGTATCATGCGGAAGTTAGTAATTAAAGCAAATATTGAACGGTGATAAATCAGACAACAAAAGAGAAATCTATCAAAAAAGACACAAACATTTAACGTGATTCGGTCAATTGACCTACGTCCACGAGCGGAGATGAACAATATCCACTATATAAAAGAGAGTACAAAATATCGAGCAAACAAGCTTACAAAGAGACAAACATAAGTGACACACTAACACTTGTCCCGAAAAGTTATCCCCCTAAACAATACTCTCAAACCCCATGTGACTACATTGTGGATGTTACTGAATTAGAAGGAAAAATCCTTAATTTATAGAAGTTAAACCTTTTCATACAAGAAAAGAGACTATCCAAATATAAGAGATTTATAATTTTCATTTACGAAAAGGAAAATCAATTATAGAGGCACCCAATAATAACCATTGAAAGTGGTCTTTTTAGTAAGAGCGGAAACTCGCAGCCGCTACAACCTTTGCCACAGTCTCTGCCCTTCGGGTGAGCACTCTGTGGTGAGCATTTTGTGCGCATTGGGTAAACTTCCCCCTGTGTAATAGCCTGCAAACTACACATGAAATGTAAACCGCACTAGGCAAGCCCTGTGCGACAGACTCAACCCAAAAGACATTGAGGAGGAATTCGATCCCAGGGTTAAGTGGTCATTCTTTGATCATACTAGAGGTTACGTTTTTCTTTTAATTACTATTGTAATAGTAGTTATATACTTATATTACTAGGCAATCCCTGTGCGACAGACTCAACCCAAAAGACGTTGAGTAGGGATTCGATCCCAGGGTTAAAGGGGTTATTCTTTGATCATACTAGAGGTTACGTTTTTCTTTTAATTACTATTGTATTAGTAGTTATATACTTATATTACTAATGTCATAGTGTCATGCTCATTCCACGGAAACATGAAGGAGATAAGCAGAAAGGGAAAACAATAACAGTTGTCTAATTAAGAATTCAATTTTGTAAAAGTAGTTGTAGTAACTTATGTTAGAACCAAAATACTTTAAAGACAGAACACTGTGATCTTTTATCTAAGAACTATCATGTCAAATCACCGAGAATTAAAAACTAGATGCGAAAGCGTACTTGAATCCACGAGAGACGATGAAATTCTTCGTCTTGCAAGTTATTGGTCTTACAAACCAAGACATGGGTGACTCTCAACTTTTCCAACGACGGGATATCAGGAAAGAAAACACTTTGTTTGATTTGGGGATTGATGTTTGGCTATAATTTCGTATTTTTAGTGCATTACTTACCTTGCATTTTGGGGCTTTAATGCTAAATTATACTATATTTGCTTAATTGAGTCTATTTTATGTATAGGAACGTTGGAGATAAAATTAGAGAAAAGTAAAAATTTTATGTATATTTTATACACTACAAGAAAGATTCGTAATTATTTGATGACGGAAAATATTATGACTTGTAATTGTGCAATATTTGAAGATAAAACAAAAGAAGACAAAAAGAAAAGAAAAAGACAAAAGAAGAATTGATAAAAGAAGAGAAGCTAATGCAAAGAATAGCAAAAGTTAGGCAGAAAACAGAAATTGAAAACGAAGCAGACTCTATGGAATTGAAAACGCGAGCTTTATTTCTCGCTACAAAGCTGGCGTCGCGAGGCTTGAGGCGAGCTGGAGGCGCGCGGAAGAGCAGGCTAGGCGCGGTCTGTCGCGGGGAGACGCGTGTTACGGATTATTAAAGTCTATTTCATCTCATATTTGGTTTTGAACTTGTTTATTTTGTTTGGGTCTTTTTCCTACACATAAATAGTCATTAAACACCAATTTTGAAGGGAGATCGAGATTAGACCGACATTAGAGACCGAGATAAGACCGACATTAGATCGGAGATTCGACCTAAGGAAGAACACACTAGGAGCAAGGCGTATAATTCTTCTACGAGTTTTTCACTTCCTTCTTCCTATTTTCATTATTGGTTATGAATTCTAGTATTGTACTTATGCATACTATTATGAATAGCTAATTTGTTATCTAAATTTTTTATAGAACCTTTTGTAGGATAAATTCTTGTTATGGTTTTATATAATTGAGCCGTTGGATTTCTCCATTTGTTCAACTACGTTTATATTGTGGTTGGTTGAAGAGCTCTCAATCGACTGTGCCTATTTAGTGTGTATTACTAGGGAGAGAGTGCATATTTAGGTGGTTGTTGAACAACATCGCTCCTAACGTATATGAGGGATCAATACGAAGGATTTAAAGGTGGGATTAGGGATAACGAAACCTTGGTACGATCCGAGTGAGTCGTACTTAATGCCAGCTAGCGTAATTCGGGAGAATATGTCTAGTAAATTGTGGTAATTACTCGGGAGAGAGTTACGACACTCAGAGCGCTCATGATCGGTAGAAAAAACTTAGGCAAAATTATAGAAGGCATAGCGGGAATGATTCCGACAATTGGGGGAAATCATAACTCTAGACCTCCTTAGTCTTGTCTAAAATTTCATCCTCGTTAGTTTGATAATTTTACTGCTTTATAATATTTGTTAGTTAATTAGTTAGAAATAAATATTATAATCTCTATAATTAGGATATTGTTTGAACTTGTGTTTTTTAGCAATATTGAACAGTTGTAGATAAGTCTTAGTTCTCTGTGGGATTCGACTCCGGATTTGTAAACCGGATTATATTTGCAACGATCACTTAATCTTTTTTATAAAGCATAGTTGGGCGTGATCAAGGATCATAACCCATTTATTATAGTTGCACATGTTTATGTAATTCTAATTTAACTCATCATTAAATTAGAAGATACATTCGGGTATCTACACATAAGACCTCATACTTTAGGAGGTATCTTATAGACTCATTTAACTTTAAAACTTAGTAGATCACTTTTAATTTAGGTCAATCTTTTAACGATAGCAACCAACATACAACTATTCTTAACACAAAATATATAGCAAATCCATAATCTCTTACAACTTATACTCCTAAAAATCAAATATTAGTAGCTTTTTTTGTTATCATAATCATCTTAAAGGCATTAGACAGACTTAACTGAAAAGGAAAAAGAAAAGGGGAATGGCTGATAAGACAGACACGCAGACAGGCAGGCAGGCAGGCAGAGAAACAAAGCTGAGTAAGTTTTGCTCGGTGCACTAAGCTCCCGCTATATGCGGGATTCGGAAAAAGATTAAAATATAGGGGTCTATTATATGCAGTATTACTATGCATTTCTATCAATGACTGTTTTCATAGCTCGAACTTGTTAATATTTGGTCACATAGTAAAAATTTTATCAATTGCGCCAAAGTTGGAGAAAGTTAAAATTGAGAGTAACTTGTGATCAGCGGAGATACAATTGGCTTGTAACTTTGGGAGGAAGGAGTTTCAGTCTTTCCAAAACGCGCAAATCAACAATTCAAAGTTGAGAAAGCTGGAGAATCTATTCCATTACATGTTTTCATTGGCAACCTTTTGAATTTCAACTTTAAACCACGAGCTTTCATCAAACTTAAACTTTGTTGATTTATTTATTTATTTATTCTTCGAAGTGCTTCAATTCTCAAAAGCCATGTTTCTGACCTAAGCAATCTATTTGTCTAATTTAGTTATTAATGAAGGTACTAGAAACTAAAGGCACTTTAACAAATGATTCTTTTTCCCAAGTGAATCGTAGTAGCTAATGGAGTACTAAGTTCTTTTTGGGAGAACGACAATTACTTGTAAAATAAGCTTCATTTTCAACTTTCAACCAAATCAACAAATTCTTTTTCACCCCTTCGTACCGACGATTAATAGTAAATTGACATAACAAGTATTGTGATGGGTGATAAGTACCCCCTTCATCTTTAATCAGAAGTTTTAAATTTGAATCTTGGGTACGGAATCGCTGAGTAATGTTTTACTCTGAAATTTCTTGGCGCGAATACGAATCTAATAGGGCGCAATGCAAATAATGAACACTAGACGTAAAACAGGAAAAAGAGTGGAATGGTTAAAGGAGAAAGGGAAAGCATGGTCTTCAAATCATGTCACGCCTCCCAAAATCTTTTTCTCATCACTCTCCTTTTCCATACTTAGTCCTTAAGATTTCTCTTCTTCATCTTCTCATCTTATTTTTCACAGTTTACAACATAAAACAAGATCCAAAACCCAAGCCAATTTTTCAATGGAGGACACAATTACAACTCCTAATTACATCTCAAAACAACAGAAATTAACCTTTAATGTTCCAGCAAACCATGCAAATTCTAGCAGTAAGTTTTATTATCATTTGTCCTTTAAAGCTATACTAGTTCTGATACTTCTAGTTGTACTTCCACTTTTTCCTTTGGAAGCTCCTGAAATTATCAGCAAATCTCTACATACTGGAAGTTGGGAAATTCTTCAGCTTATGTTAGTTGGTATAGCTGTTTCTTACGGCTTATTCAGCAAAAAAAGTGAAGATGAAACAGAAAATGAATACTGTAGTGATTCAAAGTTTGATAATGTTAAATCTAGATTACTTGAGGTTTCATCTTTTTTTGATGATGAGGCCGAAAACCATTCTGTATCTGAAGAAAACAGAGTTCAGACTTGGAATAATTATCAGTATCATAGTGGTAAACCAGTAGTAGTTGTAGCTAATGAAAACTCTGTTGATCTTGAAAAACACAGAGGTATAATTGGTTCAAGAATTGATGAAAAGCCATTGCTTTTGCCAATTCGGAGTTTGAAATCTCCTGTTCCTGAGTCTATCTCAACTACTTCACCAAAATCTCTTTCACCTTCACTATCCAAAATTTCATCTCCAAGAAAGTTTTCCTCTTCAGTACTTCCATTTTCATCAGAATCTGAAGCCAATATTGATGACAATATAGTGAGGAAAAAGAGTTTTCTCAAGTCCTCTCTTCCGCCTCCGCCACCACCTCCTCTGCCACCACCAACCCCTATTCTTAAAAAATCTACTCTGTTGAAATCAAGCTCTATAAATATAGATGACAAGGCTGCTTCTGATAAGGAACTGAGGAGAAGTAGTAGGAGTGTGTCGTTTGAGGGGAAGTCTGTTCGAACAATTAGGCCATTCATTGGAGCTGCTAGAGCAAGAGTACTATATGGTAAAGATTTTATAAATGGAAAGGCAGAGGGAATAAAGAATAAGGATATTGAAGAAACTTTTGTCGATAAACTGATGAATGAAACGTCGCATTTTGTATCAAAGCCAGCAGTGATGGAGTTTGTAGGGGAAGAGAAGAAAGTGTTGTCTGTTGAAAAGGTAGTTGTGGAAACTGATGAGGACTCAGATGATTGGTTTGAAGAGAGCACAGGAAATGAAGAGGTAGCAAACAAGAATGTTAGTGAGAAGGCAACTGAGAGTGTTACTGATGTTGACAAGAAGGCGGATCAGTTCATAGCTAAATTTAGGGAGCAAATCAGGCTTCAGAGAATTGAGTCAATCAGAACATCTGCTACAAACCTTGTAAAATGATCTTGTTCAAAATGAGGTGATATAAGAACTATTTATAAGTCTTATGGTTAGGGAGTAATTGACTTGCCATTAGAACAGTTTTATAGTTAACTAGAGAAGTTAGCTTGTCTTTCTTTGCCTTTTTAGTTTGTATTTCCAAACTTGTCTCAGTAGTATCATAGTGGCTTACAATGCTAATATGTAACAACACCATTATTTAGTGATTCAGTCAGTTAAGCAGTTGTCTTTGTGATGATTTATCTCATTGCTTCTTATAGATCTTTTGTAATTCCAGAAATAACAAAACTTCAGTCGAAGACCTTATGTGAACTCGTGAGTTTGCATTTCCTAGCTCATGAAAATACTTACTGATAAGCAGTACTCCATTTGGTTGGGCGATAAAATCCAACAGTTGATCAATGTTGGTAAACTGTGTTCAAAACAGAAAAGTCAGAAGATTGGAAGTTAGGACAGAGAAAAAATATTCCTCGCCCATAATTTTCTTGTGTGTCCGTGTCCTTAATCAATTTAATCCTCTCGCTGTTGCCCAAGATTGTGGACTCTCAAGATAAAACGGAAAAATTGCACTTTAAATTACAGAATTTCGGCGAACTCAAATGATGGAACAAATCACACAATGCAGACTCTATTTGATTTTAGAAATATGCAAACTTCAGGAATCTCAGTTATATAAATGTATTTATACGCAATAAATAGTCGAACAAATTTCATGCCATCTTGAGTGTTTCCCAAGCATTATTAGGACAGCCCAATTTGGGAGTTTTTTCTATATATACTTTGATAGGAACTTATTAATTTATTTTCTCTAAGTTTTGTAGTTTTCAAAAAGTATCTAGATTTTTCTTACAAATTGAATACATTCCTCCTTAAAAAGCTCACATCCCATGATTAATACCTTCAATTAAGGGATTCAATTATATCATTTTCTTTTTTCACACTTCTCCTCATTTCATGCGTCCTAATTTTTTTAGTACGTAGATCTCCTCTTCTCTCTCTTCAATAGTTGCACGTCTTCAACAAGAAGCTAGTAAGTTTGCTTCAGTTGTTGAATGATTTTGGTTGGAACCTTCAAATACTGGATATAATGCCATACTACATATTCTATGTTCCTATTATCCTTATAATGTTAGAAAAATGATACCTAATCTAACAAATCCAATAACACAGAACTGATTTCCATAATAGATACCAAAAAGATACTTTTTCTTTGCCGCTAGAAACCTATACATACGGCATAGAATGTCATGAGATGACAAAAAAAAAAATCAGTTACTAAAAGTTTCTTCAACAATTCAAAAATTGTTAAACTCTAGCAAAATTATTACTAATAGGATAATGGCTCATACACAATCCAAATGTGAAATTGGTCACAAACTTACAATTGCTCATCACCATATACAATTATCATACATTTGTGATACAATTTCAGCAACAATTATGATACAAATACAATTATGATACAATCGTGATACAATTCTCATATTTATCTTTTTCAATTTTCAATCACAACTCTAAACTTAAATTCTGATACAATATTGTATTATAATTGTATTAGTATTGTATTAGGTATTATTTTACATATTGATATATGCGATACAAGTCAAATACAACTTTGATACAATTGTGATATAATTATGATACAATTAACATACAATCGAGATACAATTCAGAAGCTTTTCTTTTTCGAGTTTCAATATAAAATTTTACCTAAAAATAACTCTAAACTTAACCAATCTCCCTTATAATTGAGATATAAACTCCAAGTTATATTCTCAATCGTTTGCAAGAGCACCCAATCCAAATAAATCATAAATTCGTAAAACCCAAATGTTGAATCCAAAGTTTCGAAAGTTTTTAATGGTTGTCAATGGAGAACTCTTTACTACTGCAATTTTAGAGATAATGTCGATGAATTTGTGTGAAGAGGATGAGAATAAATCACAATTTCGTAAAACCCAAATGTTAAATTCAATGTTTCGAAACTTTTTAATAGTTGTCAATGGATAATTCTTTTTTACTGCAATTTTAGAGATAATGTCGATGAATTTGTGTGATGAGGATGAGATTTGGATTAATGTGTATGAAAGAGAGATATATTTCAAATTTTTTTTAAAAATGGGATGAAAACGTGATTTTAGGGGCTTTGCATAAATGATATACATGAGAGTAAAGGGGGAGGGGGGAGGCTGACATGGGGGAGGGGAGAGGGAAGGGATGTATCAGTTACATCCTAGTTTTAAGGATGCTCTCTTTATTAAGGTTTTATATATAAATAGTAAATATAGATAGAGAATATAATTTTTAAGAAACTTAAAGAAAAGTGGTAAATAAATTTTTATTATAGTATAGCTAGGTAAATTTCCCAATTTGAGGCCCCCTCTTCCAAATTAAACATTTTCCCTGATTGTGGTTTCCTAGAACAAAAGCCCAAGAAGTTTGAGATTGGGTTTGTTATCCATAACATCTCAGCCCAAACATCTCCTTATAAGACTACTTATAAGTTCTACAACTCTCTTGTTCAGTCCAGTAGGTAATTGGACCCTATCTCGGCTAATGTTGAGGTGCACAAATAGCTATTCTTAGGGATGCTATTTAGAAATTAGTCGGTACTTATTTTTGTCCTGAAATTTGAAATTACAAATCTTAACTTCAAGACAATTCAGGACATTTTTTTTCCTGAAAATTTAAACTGAAAAACTGAAATTCAAAACGCACTAGCTAATTCCTAAATAGTAGCCCTTTAGAGTGGCTACCTTGTGTCATTTCTACACTAATGTTGCGCGCTCTTCCCCGTTTGATTTTTGAAAAAATTACGCGACATATTAAGCATATACACCGTATTTACCATTCGTAGCTATACTCTCTAAATTTACTATTCGTGGCTATATTTGAATTTTATAGCAAATCCATGAAACAAGAGATCAATTGTTCTAAATTGAAACAAGATAGCAACAAGCCCTCGTAGCTCAGTTGGTTAGAGCGCCTGCTTAGTAAACGGAGGTCTTGAGTTCGACTCTCAACAAGAGAATTTTATTTTTCTGTATTTCTGTATTTTGCGTTGGTTGTATTCGTTGTGCGAATGAATATAGTCGATACATGTTGTATCCTTTTTATACACCCTTGTATACAAGTCGATACATGGTATATTCTTTGTACATACCCCTACATTTCGCGTTGGTTGTATTCGTTTCACGAATGAATACAGTTGATACAAGTTGTATTCATTACGCGAACGAATACAATTGATACAGGTTGTATTCGTTGCGCGAACGAATACAGACTATTCGTTGTGCGTCTAAATACAAGTGATACAAGATGATAACAATTAAGCAGTAACTACTAATGGTAATTAGACAAACTATAATTACTAGGCTGTAAACTATAGTGCTTTATGAAAATTCATCTTGATTTTTTGGATTAGGGCCTGTCTTGTTTTATCTTATTTCAATTGATTGGTTAACTTTAAAGTTACATTGAATTTTTAAACGTGATTAGAATTGAGCATAGTATAAAGTAACTTTTAGAGCTAAATTTATCCTTAAACTTCCGTCGTTGGTATAGAAGAAGCGAACAAAAGTATGTTCACTTGCTTTCTTGTTCTGTTTGTTATTGTTAATTAGAGGAGTATACGAAAGTTAGCAGGGTTAGCTCTTTTGGTGCAGAAATAGCAATTTGGTGATGATTAAGTTTTATACTGACTATGAAATAATGGTTGACACATATTCTTAACACATAAAATCAACTGAAGTTATCTTAGACGATAAATTTCCAAGAATGTATGCCAAATCCGTATAACGTAGCCACTGTTCAAGTGGTGGCTAATAGTCATAGTTGACCATTCATCCAAACATATAAGTGGAAAAAGATCAATTTTAGTCCATTAAGAATAAGTTATTTCTGCTTTTGATTTTTATACTCGATCTTACAAATAAATCTTTTATTTTTATTTTGTCCAGCTTTAAGAATTTATTATGTTTACCTCAAGAATCGAAGAGCAAAAAATCCCACAAAACCCAGGAAACGAGGAAACAAATTCCAAAAACATTAGAAAAGTTCTGTGTGGTGGTTCCCGTTTTGCCTTACATTTTCTTGGGGGAGATAGTTCTTTCTTAATTCCCTTAACCTATAGTAGTTTCTAAGAACAATCATATAAAACAAATGAATAAACTTTTGTTTTTGGTATCATTGCATTACTTTACAAAAAAAAAGTCCTCTTCCACAGTCCCCGCTAATGATCTTGAAATGGGGAAGATAGAACTATTACTAAATAGAGTAAAATGACTTGACCCTAATCAATCAGTCGGTAAAAGGGGGAAAAAAATGGAGGGTCTACAATAAAGGCAAAGAGATTTTCTAGACCCACCAAATCCCCAACATGCCCAACAACCTTATCTTAAAACCATTATATTCCTCCCTACATATATTACAGTTTGTCATTGTCACTTTTGTCTTGCAAGCGTAGGATGAGAGTCCATTTGACCAAATTGCCCTTGTGATATGGGAGTGGTGGCCCACAGGTTTAACTGCTGAGGTGGACCCAGCCTAAGATTGACAGGTGTACTTGTGGGACCCGATGCAACACGCTCACATGAAGGGCACATGGTGAGGGTGGTGGGAGGGGTCATTTGCATGTAGAATTGAGGTGAAAGCTTCAGTGCTCTTAGCTCTTGAACCTCTTTCTGTAATCTCCTGTTTTCTTCTGTCAGATTCTCAACACACCTCTTCAAAAAATCGCAGTCTAGTTCAGTTTGCTTCAACTTTGTCCTGTATGTCCACACAGATTATTTTCAGGATATTTCTTGAGTAGTAATAACTTCAAACAGTTAGAAGTGTGATATATATATATATA